GTCTTCTGAGATTACCCACAAACTTGAATTCCAAGTCAACATTTCAGCAGGTACATCACAATGGCTACAACATTATTCAACCGTGCCTGTGGAGAACAGCCTCTAGTTTTTATTAATCTTCACATTAAAAAAACAACTACATCAGAGTTGATGTTTAATATATAAGGAATACTCAGGAAATATGGACATCTTTGTAAATATATTGCATATGTTATATCAAAATATGTTGCAGGATAGCAGTGTGAACAATGCTTAAACATAAACTATAATTCTCATCAGGGAATAATTTATTCTGCCGTATTTTCTAGTTGTGTCCATCCGACAGATGTCTTCCAATTGTTTAGCAAACTTGTCGAACGCGATGTTTGTTGTGCTCATTTATCCCGAGCCCAATGTTTGTAGTCATCTTTATCAAGTTATCCTAACATACATTTCCTGAAGGAAGAATACAGTCCCACTCACCCCCATCACCCTGTGCGACTCCCCAGTCACCAATGTTGAGTCCTTCCGCTTCCTGGGCACTATTCTTTCCCAGGACCTCAAGTGGGAACTGAACATCAGCTCCCTTATCAAGAGAGCTCAACAGAGAATGTACTTCCTACGGCAGCTGAAGAAATTTAATCTGCCAAAGACAATGATGGTGTGCTTCTATACAGCTATCATTCAGTCCATCCTCACCTCCTCCATCACCGTCTGGTACGCTGCTGCAACTGCCAAGGACAAGAGCAGACTGCAGCGTATCATCCGCACTGCTGAGAAGGTGATTGGCTGTAATCTACCAACCCTTGAGGACCTGCACACTTTGAGGACCCTGAAGCGAGCGAGGAAGATTGCGGACGATTCCTCGCACCCTGGATACTCTCTGTTCCAGCTACTCCCCTCCGGCAGAAGGCTGCGGTCCATCAAGACCAAAACCTCACGTCATAAAAACTGTTTTTTCCCATCTGCTGTTGGCCTCTTCAACAAGGCCAAGGGCTTAAAATGACTTTTACACTTAAAATGACTGTTACACTTACTATAACATTTTATCTACATAATTACACCTTTCCATACTTACAACGTGTAATCTTATTTGTATTTTTGTATTTTAAGATTGCTTAATACGGCTAATTAACATTTTACATTCGCATTTTATAAGGTCTACTTATTCATAATTTTAAAGATTTTAGCCTTTTGGTATTACTTATACTTTGTAACGTTAGTATAGTTAGCGTGTATACCTTTTATATAAGTTAAGATTCCTACTTGTTCAATGTATGCACCGTCCCGCCATAGTGAATTCCTTGTTTGTGCAAACTTACATGGCGATTAAAACCGTTTCTGATTCTGATTCTGAAGTGAATGTTTTCATTGGACGTCACAAGGAGCGTGTCAAAAGCAAATTTGAGAGGGTTAATGTTTCTCTCATTAATATCTATCCCTTTGTGTCTCCAATTACGTGGTTTTCAGAAATTATCTCTTCATGTCAACTGTGTGAGTAACTTCGGAGAAAGCACTGAACCTTGTCTGGTACGTCTGTAGTGCCACAGCAATGGAGCACCTCTGCTGGCACTGCCATCCCGTCGCACCCCTCCACACAACACACACACATGCGCGTACATTACCATCAATACGGCCGCCGTTGGCTGCGCGGGTAAACGCGCGCGATTGGAGAAGCCGCGCGCCTACAGCCTTGTGAGTAATTAGGAGAGCTGCAGAGCTGCAGCGTAGGTGTGGTGTGAGTACGAGCGTGCATATGAAGCGCGCGTGTATTCAATCATAAACGATCCCTGACGCTCGCGTGCGTGTTTACACAGCGCGTTTACGCAGTGTGTTTATGTAGCGACGATCGCATTAACGGTGGGACGCGCGTGCATTACTACATTTACAGCCGCCGTCGTTTGCGCGTGTTTACGCGCGCGGGTGTGAAATAACCCCGGGTGGTGGTGAGCCAGCCGTGCAGACATGTCCCTCAGGGAGGACGCTGGTGCGGGGGGGACGATCACCCGATCGGCGGGGGCCCGGCGAGAAGCGTCCGAGGAGGAGGTTGGGGAGTGGAGGGGGTGGACGTCGCGCCCCGCCCCCCCCCGCTCACGAGGAGCGGGGGGTGGGCGTCAGCCCCCACACGTCCATCATGTAACATGAATGTGGCCCTTCACATTTTGTGTAAATGCATTATTTGTAACTACTCATATTGAGACCTTTATAAAAACTTTAATGAGTGGGAGGGGGGGGATTAGGGAGCAAATGTTAAAAAATTTACTTTTGGGATTTGTTGTCGAATCAAACTTAACTTTTTACGTGCAAAGCCTAAGCTCACCCCTGCAGACGATCGCCATAATTCAAATCGCTCAACTCCGTCACTCGCGAATTTCTGTCTTTACATCCGACTCCACGCACCACGTCGCAATCCCGTTTCCTTGCTGACGACTCCGATAGCGTCAGGACGGCGTGGTGGCATCGCGACGTTACGGAAATCGTGAGGGTGAGACAGCACCAGTCGGAGTTCTGCCTCACAATTGTGAAAAAGCCCAAGTACTGGGGCGCGGTGGGAGTCTTCATTGACCACAGCAATTTCTCACTGTTGAGGTCTGGACGCAAATGCCAGAGAGAGCCGTGTGAGCTCCGCCGTGGGGTCTTGTTTGGAGTCTGCTAACATACGGATGCCAGGGTGGAAGAGTGGTAACACTTGCGCCTCACTGCAATAAGTGTCTGGGTTTGATACCTGACTTGGAACGCCTGTGTGTAGTGTGTATGTTCTCCCCCCTGTTCCTCACGAGGTTCCTCCGGTTTTCTCTGGTTTCCTACCATAGCGAGAAACATACACACAGTCATTGGTGCTGGGCAAACGTTTTGATGCAGGACTCTCCTGAATCATAATCTTTGCGCCAAGTGTGACTTTACTGGGCAAATGTTTACGTATTTATATTATTGTTGGTATTATTATATGCATGACCTGTATGTGTAAACAACAGACAGTGTTGGAAATTTACATTGTGATTTAAATGTCGCTTTTTCATATTAACATTATTTGGCTATTATATAAAATTCTACCGACTGAAAAGTTACACAATAACCTTCAGAGATTTGTAAAAATAAAAAAAAACTCAAGTTACTGTCAGGGCAGAACTGGGAGGTCCTGTGCCTCTCCTGTGCATCATTTCTTGATAACTGCTTTTTGTCCTTTTCCCGCACCTCCGCTTAGCACGGTTGGCTACGTACGGTGCGAAAGAAGTTCAACATACATACATGCATAGTCTGTGGGGCCTGGTGGAGGGTAGTAGGCGCTTGCGAAGTGTGATTTTTATTGAATTTGCAATTGTTCTCTCAGTCATATGTTCCTCATGCTGTCTCTTGGTGTGAATTTCAGCATGCATCCCTCCGTTCGTCTTTGTATTTCGGATTCCGCTCCCCCCCCCCCATTTTATTTGCCAATGTCCACGTTTCTGATCCATGTCAGTAAAACAGATGATCAGACAGTGGCGGCTCCTGCAAAATCTCTCAGGGGGGGCAAATGTCTGGATGATTGATAAGGATAAGGTCCACCCATGCAATGGATAAATTAACAGCTTAAGCATGTAAAGGCAACTTCACTTCTTTAATATTAATGAAAAATAAAGTGACTCTTACAATACATCTTGTTTGTTTCTATACTCACTATTCAAACAAACCACTCAAGTTTATTTTATTAAAGATTCCACTCGGTGGCGATAAATTATATTGTTGGATGAAACGTGCTTACGTATGATGACGTTAGCACGTATGATGACGTAAGCACGTTAGGGCTTGCCCTCCCGGAAGCCATAGAGAATGCATTGGACCGCCCCCCGGTCGAAAAAAAACATCTTTCAATGTAAGTCTATGGGGCCACTCGGGGCGATTCTCAGCCGGAGTGAAATCGCCCAAAAAGAGGCGGTACTCCACAGAACGTGACATGACGCTGATTGGACTATATCCAGAGGCTGACAGTGACGGCTCGCGTGACTCTGTGGATCAATGACATTGGTGGTGCGTCGCCCAATCGCCCTAATGAAGAAACTGCCCCTGTGATCAGACAATACATCTTCAGATATCTGTTTCCCCACATAAATATGGTAAAAGCATTATTTTACAAACACCCATCGACCCAACAGCCTTCTGGGAGTGCATCATTTGGACAGCATTGATTTAACAGAAGCAAACTCTGGACCGGTGTTGCTATGTTTTATCTCTTCAGCAGCAGAGTCAGGGTTACTTGAATTAATGCTGGTGAACTGCCAGATGTTATAGGCAAGGACTCTCTCTGTTAGATATGGGTCCGAGCTCGACGCAAAACTCGATAATGTGTAACACAAAATTATGATTAGCGTCATTGTGGAGGTATCTAAATAACAATGTCAGCAGCCAATTGCAAGCATCTGTTCGTAAAAACCGTTCACATTACTAAAAGCTACAGCAACGACATATGCAAAAGGAAACTATTCCACCTTTCTATATTTTAACAGCTCTTTTCATCCCACTGCTGGATGAAGACTTACCAACACAGTGTCGGGTTCATCTTCTTGGTTCTTTCGGTAAAGTCACGTAGAAGGGAAGTAATAAAATAATAAAAATAAAACATAATAAAATAAAATAATTCTCACGACGTTTCGGCTACAACGCAAGCAGCCGTCTTCAGGTGAAGAAGACGGCTGCTTGCGTTGTAGCCGAAACGTCGTGAGAATTATTTTATTTTATTATGTTTTATTTTTATTATTTTATTACTTCCCTTCTACGTGACTTTACCGAAAGAACCAAGAAGATGAATCCCTGCAGTCACGAAAGCTTTAAATCGAAACAGTGTCGGGTATACTTCACCACGCTGGTCAGTGTAAGTAGGTACCACAAAGACCTCCACCGGGCTGATGAAACAGTCTTTAGTTCGCTTTGCGTAAACACACGTGTGCATTGAACGTATATGAAACAGTCCGGAAGATCAGGGCTCAAATGATGAAATGTTATTTATTTTTCTTTCTCATGCAACAAACACTTAAGCTCTTTCTTTGATTGATATACGTAGATCTTGCAAAACGTATATACTGTTTCCATCAACACAGACCACTTTTTAGCAATCGCGTCATAAGCCGAGGATTCGACGCGCAAATGGTGGGAGCGACGAGTCGGTCTATAGGCGTCCTCCACAGTCATTCTGTGAATAGACTTGCACCTGCCATAAGAATCTAGAGCTCACACCACTGGGCCAGAGCTCCCACTGAATGCCCTGCTAACAGCCTGCACTTTTTATTTAGCAATACCATCTGATAATAACCTTGTTGATTACATCTTGTGCAGAAGCTGAGCACAGTCATGACGTTGCTAAGTCACCAGATTATCACAGTGGTACAATTATTCCTAATTTAACGTAGATTATGCAAAACAGGAGGAGGGTCTGTTTAATCTCAGCACGAGTTACTCAAGGGCTTGACAGTGTGAATGACTGGTTGCCACCTGTGTCAACATGGCGGGAATCAAAAGGTTTCAGTTTGGTGTTTTAACATCTTCACATATTCTGTTTTATGGGCAGAAAGAGTAAAACCTACTTTTATATTTTGATACTGGCAAGAGAGATCCCAATGATGTAGCTGGTCACCCCGATCTCTCAATGTCCTTTGTGCTGTTTGCCTTTTGACGTCCTCTGGTCTAACACTTTTGAGACGAGGCTCTAAAGAAAGCTGTCTGTGGTGTGGATGAATCAGTTTCAAAGACAATGCATATATTACAAGAGCATGTTTTTTGTTTGCATGTTCACCACAAGTATATAATAATAATGCAATTTATAACGCGCGCAAATTTGCGGACGTAACGGCCGCAAGTCAGAGGCGCGGGTGTGACAATAGACCTAGGTAGGCTGATTTGGAAATGTGTCTGGGTTTAGTCTGTGTTAAAGGTGGAAACCCTCATAACTGGGCATTATAAAATGTGATTCATGACTTTTTTTAACATGTATAATGGAAATACTTTGCAACGTGAGAAGCATAATGTGTTCATATTGGCAAACTAGTATCGTAAACATATGGTTCTCTATATTGAACAGTTCAAAAAATCAGCGATTATTTACAAATGCTGGCCGCTAATTGACTCATAGGCTGAACAATCTTGCTGTTGTTTTTCAAGGTGGGTATAAAGATGTTTAGATTTTGTTTCAGAAACCTAAAAGACAAACACAAGTGTTGCACATTATTAGAACAAAGGATATTGCAGCATACAAAACAAGTAAAGTCCACGTGACAATAACAAAGAATGAATTTTAAAATGTATAGTTCCGTGCAAACGTTTGTTACTGGAAATAATTCAACTTAATAATGATCAATGTATGTGCACTGTTTTCGATTTCTTGCGTAACACAGTTGTTTTTCCATAATAGATGTTTTTTTTTGGTTAGATCACGTAAATATATGAATGTGTCGTGAAACCCGCTACCACCCGACACAGTCAACTAGTAAGGGTCGTCACGTAAACAGAACATGCCAATTCGTCACTAGTACAGCACACCAGTTGTTTTTGCCCTGCATTCTATTTGATTCATTGTTTCCATTGTTTCATGATATTTTGTTATTGTAATTGTATTCACCCAGGCCAGACACTCTTAAAAATGAGACTCTATCCAGGTCTTTTGAGTTCTTTCTTAGCAACATAAGGGTTAAAAACACCAACTAGGCGAGTTTTGCGCATTCAATCCATGTATGTCATTGTTGATTATTCAATTTTTCCTCCTTGTAAATAAGGTTATCCCCAGATTACTCACCTAGTCTACACCGGTTATTATGCACCCAATTAACGTAGGTATTATTTATCATTTGTAAGTTAAAGTATATAGCTAAATTAATAAAATGACAGTTATACAACTCTAACCATTTAGAATACATTAATTCATCATTTATTATAACAATGTAACACAATCTCGTCAATTAACCATATCAATAATTCCTCATAGTGCTAATCTTCATAATGCGAATTCAATTAACAATATTAGCCAATTGACGCTTATTTAAAATTACAATTGGATTAATGCTATGAAAAATAAGAACAGGTTTTACCCCGGTTCTCCCATAATGTCCGTGGTGTAGTCATTTTTAGTCTGTTGATGGTCGGCGATGCGGCAATCGACTCATCTCGACGAGCTGTACACGATGCGCTATTCAAGGTAGCACTGATTTTGGATTGATTGATACCCCAGTCGCGGAGTTAAGTACACCACTGGAAAAAATTGTTTCCCAGAAATAAAATATTTAATTGCCTCGGCCATTTTTTTTATTTGGTATCCCGGGGTACCGCCATAAGAATCAAATAGACACCTTTTTGCCAAGAATCAAGTCTGCACTAACCACACGTACTTGTGGTGAACATGCAAACAAACATGCTCTGATAATATATACGTTGTCTTTGGAACTGATTGGCCTACATCAGAGACAGCCTTATGACCGAGTCTCACCAGTGTCAGACCAGAGAACGCCAAAAGACAAACAGCTTAATGCAGATTTGATACCTTGCAAAATGAACCTATTTGACGTTTGGACATCTTAACAGCTGTTTTATTGCCAGAAATGGTAAAACCTACTCGTATTTTTCATACTTTGATTATGGCAAAAAGGTCCCAGGATTAGAGCTCAAATATCACGCAATATATAATTTACGTGTAGTTTTGTGTGTGTGTGTAGTGTTACATTTGTGTCAGGAGAATATAGGACTTTAGAACAATGAACTGGCTATGATATATGAAATATGTGATGTAATCGTCACGGTACTTGTCTGGCAGATTCTTTGACTTGCGCCCTTAAGCCTGAGTGAGACGAGAAAAATAAAAAGAGTTGGATAGTCTGTGAAATGTATCGGTAGTACGTACATCAGGAAATGTGCACCGATTAAACATTTAGATGCAATGGATATAACCGATTAAGTCAGTGTTTCTCAAACTTGTTTGGCCCATGGACCACTCCGCTGATGCAAACATTTCCGCGGACCACTCAGCCCCCTCACTTCTGGTGACAAAACGCTTTCACTTCTCTCTCTAAATACCAGTCGTACAAAATGATTCATATTACCGGAACATACAACCCTCTCTTTAAACACGGATATAAGTTTTATAGGGGTGGCATTTAGATATAAGGGTTAGGGTAGTTTAATCCAACGTAATTTACCTAACTTAATTTTTGTATTAAATATCATGAGTAAAATATCAATTAGTGTCCAAAACAAAAGGTATAATTAACGTCATTGTTTTCTGGTCAACCTGCGTTTGCGTCACAGCCCTGCGGACCACCTGGAGGAGCGTCACTGACTACCTCGTGGTCTGGGGACCACAACTCGGAGAATCACCGGATTATATGGATCTAATTTGCTGCGACACAAAATAATCTTGAGCGTCAATGTGGCGTACATAAGTAACGAAGTAAACAGACGAGATGCCTGCTTCCCATATCTGCATCCACGTAACAAAAAACATTTTATACACATTCCATCAGCTGTTTAGCCTACTGTAAAAAACAACTTAATGTTTAATGTGGTGGAACAGATATGTAGAGAAGGTCTTATATTCTCCACAATTACGACAATTATTATTTTGCTTTATTATAGAGTTTCGTGTCAAACTAAGACCCATATCAGAACTACTTTGTTGTTTAGTTTGTTGTCCTTCCCCCGCACCGCTGATTATCACGGTGGGCATATCTCACAGAGAGGGCCCTTGTATCTTCTTGGTTCTTTCGGTAAGTCACGTAGAATAGAAATAATAAAATAATAAAAATAAAACATAATACCGAAAGAACCAAGAAGATAAATCCCTGCAGTCACGAAAGCTTTAAATCGAAATTTAGGGCCGTTGTATATAAACATCTGGCAGTTCACCAGTACTGGCTCAAGCCAAGCCTGACTCTGCTGACGAGACACTGAATGTCAAACTGGTTCTGAGTGGCCTTATATTGAACCAATACCGCTTGCAATTAATCATTTCCAGAAGGCCATGTAGGTGATGGGATGTGTAAAAAATACTTTACATTTTTGTTTTTATAATCCGTTGCAGATGCTTCATGAGTGAAGTTCAACTCACTTTTCTGCGCATGAAAATATTTGTAGGCGAGAAGAGCCGACAAGAAGAGGCCAGCCACAGCCAACGCTGCGGTGCAAACAAAGGGGATGAAATAGATGCATTTGCCAGTTTTGGGCGGCGTGCGTGGTGGTGGTGGTGGTGGCGGTGGTGGGCACGCCTGCGCCGGTGCCAGGGGGCACCCCGCGGCACGGCTGGATGTCTGAGCCGTGCCCGCTTCACCTGCCTCTGCTGGGACATACAGAGAGATGACCATCAATGTGTTACATAGAAATTCGGTTCAAACATGGGGTTGTAATGGATAGTAATAACATCCGGTGTTTACCCTACGTAATTATTAGATCATTTATATAATCATCAGGCTTGGTCAGTCCACTGCTGGATGAAGGTCTCACCCAAGCTATGAAGCAGTAATCCTCCCAGCGCCTGCACACCAACGGCTTTCATCGCTACAGCTCCTCGGTTGACGCCATTCCATTCATTGGCTGCTAGTCTATCATCATTATTCCTGACCATCAGATCTCATCCCTTCTCGCAAATGTTGCGCTATGAAAGGCCACTTCGCTTTCTTAACATTTTGAATTCGGTAAATAATCTGCATATGTTCGCTAATCCATGTGTAGGGGTGTCAGGGGAAGGATTCCCACCAATAGGAGGGGGAGTGGGACGGTGACAGGAGAAGGAGCAAGTGAGGAGATATAAGGGAATGAACGGGCAGGAAGAGGGGGGGTTGGCGGGAACGAGATTGGGACGGCTGGGGACAGGTGTGGATGGGAGAAAATAAATAAAAGACGAACCCCCTGCAACCTTGTGTCGGCTCTCCTTTACACATGTATTCCGCGTTCTGTCTGTCAATGCAATACCAAGCACACGTGTCTCCATGCTTCTTTGGGCACTTTTGAGTTTTTGTTCCATTGTTAATTAATTGTGCAACTGGTTTATGATACAGTATTTATTTATCAACAATACGGTTAACATGGTAAAATCTTGGTCACGATTGTACATAAGGGTAGGTACCTGTCCTGATTTTGCCCAGACAAGTTTGAGAACTGGCATCTGTGTGGAAGTGGCGGGACTTGATTTGTACCGAAATCGGCAGCACAAAAGCAGGAATTGTCGGGAGGTCTGATAGCAGGAAGGTTGGAAAATGCAGAGCACATCACAAGAGGGTGAAATGACATAGTCATTACGAAGATTTGTTCAGGAGAACATTGAAGATCGGTTGGAGGGACAATCTGGGCATCAGCCAGCGCTTCCCAATGGAGGAGGAACAGCAAAATGATACGAACGAACTCTCTCCTAAGCCCTCTCCTGGCCAACAGCAGACCCCGAAATTGACATTTATCTCCTGAACATATCACGCACAAGAGTAGAATAGAGAGGACAGCATATGTCATTGGCATCAACCCTTAGTCGAGATGACGACATCGGTTCTTGTCTCATTCACCCGACGAGAATGAAGTATCGAGTCGACCACCGTCTGAAATGTAAACTCACGCCCTTCTAATTGCGAGCCGAGTCTTCCAAAGTGCTGCTACCAAGAATAATTACCATATGAACCTTGACATTTTTATTGCATCACTACAGCCATGACAGTGATATCCTCCTGTACATTGAAAAGATGTACAAGAGATCCAGAACTAGTAGACTGCTCTGCATTATACTGATTACTTGGGGCCTGGTCAATATCAACGAATTATTGGATGTCAGTGAGCTGTGATACAAAAGACATGAAGAACATTCCAAAGGACCAAATCTTGGTGTTTTAGACCTTCACTAGGTCCATTTGAATTCACATGCACCTCTATGCAGCTGTAATTTTCTTTTTGTTATAATGCTACAATCATTGTAATACACTTAAACATATAAATACAAACGAATATTTGCAGCGGCCACAGTTGTTCGCTCTCAGAGAGAAATAATTATTCAGAGACACGGGATATCGCAGGGAGGCGAGAAGGCAGCCATTAAAACCGAACTAAACTATTTTTTTTCAGGGAGGAACAACAGTTCCACACTGCCCACCAGGGATTATTTGTCTGTCTGTCGTGCATAGCCACGCCCTCGAGTTGTATTTCATAGAGCGCTTCGGGCGGGCTCAGCACCACGTGACGCGCCGCCCCACACAGCTTGCGCCGCATGACACGGATCGCAACAAATGTGCTGTCCGACCAAGTTCCTACCTGCCCACTTCGAAGTAACGTGTTTTATATCAGGCAAGGTCCACTGAGCTATATAACTCTTCAGAAGCGACCTCGCCGCAAATGACAGCTCAACGAAGTAGCTTACCATCTAGAAATTTATAGCAGCCAAATACTCGAAACGCATGTTTCTACATGTGGATGGAAAAGCCGGAAGACTAACAGAAAAAGCCATGCCACCACGGGGAGAGATACATGCAAACTCCAAATATACAGGCGTCAAGGGTCGGGATCGAACCCACGACCCCATGTATACCTGTCGAGGTAGTTAACATCTCGCCACCGTGGCACCCACAGCTGGCGCCAACAATTGCCCAAGCTCTGTAGCACTATATTGGGATAGTAGGCCAACTCCATAAATACTGAATCTTTATGCATGAGGGAGGAAACTGATGTACCTCCGACAAAAAAACCCCGCATGTGCGACGACGGTAACAAACACTAAATCCCCGTACAGATGTAAATCAATCCACTCGCTATACTGCCATACCCTGGCGAGCCATGAGATGGTGACCTCGCGGTCCGGCTAAAACTCCTGCCTGTGGATGCCATTTGCCTATTGGAGGCTCAGTCGCCTTTGGTGTAATTTTCAAACCCTCCCAGACTCTCTCTGTTGTGCCATTGGCTGACTGGTGGCTCATCGTCAGACCCCGAACTGGCTACAATCTTCCGTGAAGCTTCTGCGCCACAACCCCTCATTAACTATTTAAACCGCGTTCACTGCACAATGCACGACAGGCAGCATATGATGACACTCCACTGGATGCACAAATGTAATATGAAAAATTCGCCGGCAGTATGTGATTGTGCTCACCACCCAGAACCGAACCGCGGAACTCAATTCCCGATTCGCAAATACGAAGGAGGCGTCTTCACATCGATTCACGACTGATGCAATCATCTGGCTCAACCACCTCAATGTAAAATCCCACTTGTTGTTCTATATCAACATCAGCCACACGAAGGAGATGTTCTTGGTAGGGGAGTGCACGGTCAGATATATGTATTTTTAAACCAAATACCTCTATAAGGTTACTATCAAATATATACGATCCCAAACTGATACCATGCGACATTCTATAAATCAGCTCTCCATTGTGTTTGGTTATTAAATCTTATCTTGAGCAATCTGTATTGGATTTCAATGTGTTGCGGTGTCCCTGGGAAACTAGAGAATGAGAGAAAACCCACAGTGTGCGTGGAGATAACGTCCCAAACCTCATTCCGAAATTGTGGCATCACAGGACCGAAAAAATTACAACTTGGGGAGGCCTTCATCTAGCAGTGGATAGACTTTGGCTGATGATGATGGTCAAAATACGCAGTCTCTTTCGCAAATGGAAAGTTTATTTTTTTTAAAGAACATTTTCATTGTTAGTAACTATCAGTTGATTTTTATTCTTGACAATTGTAAAACAAAGCTTAAACAATGCAATATTTTACAGTATGTAAACAGTGAATGCACAAGCAAAACCCTGGATTTTAGGGATTTACAAAAAACTAAAAATGCTGAACATAAACATAAAATAAACATTGACAACTACATAAAAAGCAGAAGCTATGATAATAAAACCAAAACATTCGTAATATTTACACACACGTAAGCAAAAATCAGCAACACATATTTGACCACTCTGTTGAATAATGTTGTAGGCATTGTGATGGGGTGTAATATTTTAATTCTCTACAATCATTATCTTGTGTGCATATCTAAAAACGCGTGTATCGTTTTCAACACTTCTGCACTAACATTGCTGTTCAATTCATTATTTTCACTGCTCAATGATGACATAATACAAAAAACGCACGCTCAACACAACCCGCGCATCTACCACGGTGCCTCGTTTTTCTCAGCCGTCCTACATCCTATACGTCTTCATCGCGACTGTGCCAGGCTGGGTGCACACGCCGCTGTGGGCCGTCGCGCGATCGATCCGCTGAACCCGCCGCCTCTCGGAGTCGTCAGCAACGCCACAAGGGAGCACGATCTGGGAGCCCTCGGCAGCCACCACGGACGCGTAGGAGGTGTTCTCTTGACCTGCGGACTGACATCAACGTCCCATTCGTGGTGGTTGGGAAGTGGCCAGTGTTGGGAGAAAATACGCCGCAAAATTGCAGCTGGGCTTTTGAAAATACAACTCCCGTCAACGTTCTCCGTGGTAACCTCACGATGTGTCCCAGTAAACATGAATCGATGTGTTTATGGTGGGTACGTTTAAATATATAAATAATTATTTTATAATGTATAGACACTATATGGAGGTAAAGGTGTTTATCTTCTAACATATACTTTAAAAAGTTGAAGTGCATTTTCATATCGACACGATATGTATATATTACATTAATAACTGAAATAATGTAGATATATTACATCGTAGTACATCTGCATTTATGATTACACAATGTGTGGGACATATATATAGCATAGACATATTTTTAATATTCACACAATTATCTTTATTTCACGATGAATAGTATGCTTGATTTTAACTGAGTGTTTTAATTATCTTATATTTTATCATGAAACTGATCAGTGTACTCTCATTCAAACCCCATTCAGAATTGTTACAGCCATGTAGCATTGTCTCTTAGACGTAAACACAGACACATTAAACAGAACAGTGTCCCTAAATTAAACTTTTAACATTTTTATTTTACGATGTAAGGCCCACTGAGCTACACAGCTCTTTTTCAGAAGCGACCTGGCTCCAAATTATAATTTTATAAAGTGGCTTATCGTGTGTAGCAGCCAAATACTCTAAACGAACGTTTGTAAATGTGGAGGAAAAAAACGGACGACCTGGAGAAAAATACACGCTACCACGGGAAGAACATATCAACTCCAAATATACAGAGTCGAGATCGAACCCACGACCTCGCCACAGTGGTGAATCTATAAAACACGACACTGCACTTATTCATGCACATGCCGTAGATC